TTATCACCAGAGTACACTGGTTCACTCACCAAGTTCTCAACCACATTATCGCTCAGACCTGGACGGTAAAATTCTGTGGACTTTGTGCACTGCTGTTACATCTTTTTCTAACTCTCAGTTTGACATTGTGAAGGTACGAAATCAAGTTCTTGGTGGATGGAGAGTGGCAGCTATCGCCAGAATACCCTACCGTCGGTGAGGGATTAATGAAAAATAACTTGCTAAGTGTAGAGTAGCTTCGGTCCGTAAAGTTTCTAGTCATGCTAGATATTGAGAACTAACTAATTGCAGTGTTTTCCGATACGGGCTTTTTTCTTTCATCCTTCTCTTCTAGCTTATGTACTTGTATTCACTGTATAGCTTTGATTCTAGCAGCTCAATAAAATAGAACAGAATTGCAAAGTTTGAGAAAAAAATCGTATATATGTGGAAGGTATGACCAGAATTTATGTAATTAGGTTTAATTGAAAACTTTCTGGATTAAATTTAATAATTTTAAACACTATATGACAAAATAATATAAAAAATAAAGACATGAAATTGATATTATTTAAAATTTTATTTAAAATAGTATATAAATTTGGTAAAAATAAAAAATATATTTTGTATTTTATGTTTGGACAGGAATAAACATAAATTATAATATAATAATTTTTATATTTGATATGTATTTGATATAAAATAAATATAATATGAATACTCAGAATTTTAACTAATCACGGCTCATAAGGAAATTTTAGCTTTAAATTGTTCCTGAGAGTTGTACTCCCTCGTCTCATCTTAACTGTCATTTTAGGAATCTAACCCAAGATTTTCTAGTTGGAATCTCAACTTGTAACTGTTAGGGTGTTCCCTCGGGGACATATTATTGCATCTTTCCAAACAATCTGTGGTCGTATTAGGTGATTGGTGAACAAGTCTACATCTTGGAAACACAATGAAGAAGGTATATTCTCGAATTAAATTCCAAGTAGCTTTGTAATTTAGCTTGAATGAACCAAAATTAAAAAGGATAGCATGTGCCAGTAGCTTTCTTTGCTTGATTCTTTTGAATGTTGATCATTGGGGTCAGAGGAATGGGCATCGCAATAAATTTACCAGGGAGAATTTAATTATTCGGCTGAGTGAATTGAATTTCTAGTGTGCCAGCTTTTATAAAACATGGAGCGCCCTATGGTTAGACCATAGTTTTACCCAAAGAAATCTCTACAAGGACCCTGCTGCTGTCATTTTCATTTGGAGTATACTTATTTAATATCAAAAGCATGCATTTAACGCTAATACCATTCTTTCTTTAATTGGAATGTTTTTACGCCCAAAATAATACTGGCCAATCGAGGAATGCAGGTGACAAATGAGCATGACTTGGCGAAGGAAATGATGTGGCATTTTGATAAACTAATTAACGTTTCACTAGTGGCAGAATGGAAACATGTTAGCCACTGAAATTTTGGCAAACCAACTAACGTTTCATAAGTTCTTTTTCTTTCAAATGTTCAAACTTAAAGAAAAAAAAAAAAAAAAAACATCGCTCTTTTTCTTTTCATATTCTCTTTGTTTCTTCTCAAAGGGAACAAGGACAAGCCTAGTCTTTCAACATAATCTCAAAAGCCCAAAAAGAAAAATTCCTTCGAGTTTCCTCCACTCAAAACATTTCAAGGAGATATGCCCAAAGCTTTGCTCATTTCGGTAAACTAAAATATATATAAAAAAAAACCCATTTTAACTAACTGCTTTACTTGCTGCATTCTCAAATATCACTTGTCCCCTTGTCTATAGAACTATTATATAAAAAAGCGACATAATCCAGTTAATTCATATAATAACTTTTAAAAGATGATATTTATTATATTTAAAATTTAAATATCAATACTTACAATTTTTTTATTTAGATTATAATCTCTTTTTTGTAAAAAAAAAAATACAAAATAATTTTAAAAATTAATATAAACCCGAATAATTTTAGTGCAAAATATATTTTTATTTTTAAAACTTACATCATTTACATATTATGTCATTATTTTGGTCTTCTCACTTTCAAATTTTCAATTTACAAAATTAAATTCAATTAATATATATGAGTTTAATTTAATTTTATGCTGATTTTATTTAGTTTATGGGATAATATTCAAATAATTAGTTCTTCAACTTTACTCAAAAATGAAAATGAATTCTTAATCATTTATTGCAGGAAATTAAGAATATGATTTTTATTTTATTTAATTTATTTGTTTGATTGGTTTTTCTTATTAATTATTTTCACAGATGTATTATGGAATACAGTTTATTGAAAGTTACTATTTAAATGTAATCGTAATTTCCATTTGTGAATGTAATCTCATAAAAGATGGTCCTTTGTTTGTAACCCCAAAAAAATAACAAATGGCCCTTTCTTTAGCTAAGGAATGGTTCTGAAAAATCAATTTAAAACAAAAAAAACTATCAACCTCCTATTTTAGTTATATGCACAGACTTTTCGTTAATTTAATTAACTCCTCAATTTTAACAGTTATTCTGATCAAACAATTAGTGTCAATAACTTGATGCATGTTTCCCTTAACTTCTTGGTACCTGAAAGATGAGCCATGAGAGCCTATCTCAACTAAAATTGTTATCAAATTCTCCCCACACCTCCAACCAATTAAACTAGTTCAACTGTTTTTTGAAATTGAAATATTTCTCTTTCATGATAATATTTTAAGAATTTTTCATAAAGGAACACCAACTTTCAATGACTAACATGTTTAAGATTCATATCTTGATGACAATAGGGGGTTAGGATGAGAAACTTCAAAAGCTTACCCATTTTGGTAAATAAATTTGTTTCCGTGCAAGAAAGAACTAATATAATTAATATTAATTTAACACCGCCTTTTCTCATACGTAGTAATGAACGCATTTTTCTATTCATAATTTTTTTCATACATTTGAGAAATTTTAAGAGATTGAAGAAAAATGATTCGCTTCTTAAATGTCAACCTTATTAATAAGAAGTAACAACGATTAACTAGGCTAATACACTGGTTCCATTGTTATTCTAAAATCAATATCAGTGCTTTTTATTTTTTAGCATCCAACTTGTTAAAACCAATTGTTTTTAGATGGAAAGATTCAATTTAAATATAAAATTATAACAAATAAAAAATTTAATAGGTGCAAGATAATACTATTTTATTATACTCTTATTCTATGTATAAAAACAAAAAGCTACTATACGATAAATTTAAAAAAGGTAACAGGTAAAAGTAATAAGTTAGAATAACAAAACAAAATTTTAATTTTGATATTATATTAAATATCTAACTTAAAATCAGTTAGCTTTAGATGAAGGAACCTAACTTTAATATAAAACCACAAAAAATCTAAGATTTAATAGATGGGGATAGCACCGCTTTAAATTCAAACATATGAGAGAGAGATAGAGAGAGAGAGAGAGAGAGAGAGAGAGAGAGAGAGAGAGAGAGAGAGAGAGAGAGAGAGAGAGAGAGAGAGAGAAGTCAAATATTTTTGTGTCAAATTTAATTAATTAGACTTTTACTGATCAATATACCAATAACAAAAATTACAATTCTGTGAGTCTATCTACGTGTGTTGGAGAAAAGTTTCAATCTTCATCATTGATATCTATTCTAGGATAATAATTCATATTAATTTATTACTAGCAATATTAGAAAAGTCCTTAAAAAGATAGGCTAAGAAACAAAATTTAAAATACAATTCAAATGACATTGAATTATTAATTTAATCTAGGCTTTGTATAGAATTTTTAATCTTTATCATTGATATCTATTCTAGGATAATAATTCATATTAATTTATTACTAGAAAACTATTATTAGAACAATGCTTATAAAAATAGGTTAAGAAACAAAACTTAAAGATACAATTAATTGAGTCAACTCAGAGATCAATCATATGGTTTATTGATAGAGTTTTAGATTTTAAGTTTCAGTAATCAAAATACAAATTTTAACAATTTTAAATATAAAAAAAAGCTTAATGATGAAATGTTATAATGTATTGATCCGTAGACTTATAATTAGACATTGACTTAAAGAGTCGCTATTAATTTTTTTTATTTAAATATGATTGGTCATTTAATTAATCTGTTTCATTTTAAAGAGAAGTCTTAAGTTTAGCTCAAGTATCTTTAAAAAATAGATTTAATATTTATGAAGCTAAAACTAAGTTTGGGAGTGTGATTATATGCGAAGAAAATTATAGCACCATCACAACGCCCATTAAAGGATGATACCGGCTTGATTTCGTATTATCTATTGAGCTTTTAAAAAACTTATTAGATGGTTAATTACTGAAAATTATTCTTAATTGATTTTAATATTTTTGGTAAAAATTAAAAAAATCCTCTCACTTCAAGAGTATATTAGAAAATTACTATTTCTCTTATAGATGTTCCGTCGTTGGATTATTTAACATTAAATAAATTTCAAGGAAAATTTGATACTTCAATTTTTTCTTAGATATATTTTTTTATTATATTTTAAAAAATTAATGCCTTTATTTAAGAAAAAAATTAATACTTTCAACTTTTTCTTTAAATACTTTTTTTTTTTTGAAATTGGAAAGATTTTTATTTAAGAAAAATTGGTACTTTCAACTTTTCTTTAAAATCTTTTTAAAAATTTTTTTAATTTAAGAAAAATTGATACTTCATCTTTTCCTTGATTTCATTATTTTTGAAGTATTCATTTTTTAGGCAAATTGATACTTTCAACTTTTTCTCAAAAAAATTTTTTTTGAAAATTTTATTTTTAAAGAAATTTTATACTTCAACTTTTCCTAAAAAAATATTTTTTGAAAATTTTATCTTCAAAGAAAATTAATACTTTCAATTTTTTCCTAAAAAAACTATTTTTTGAATTTTTATTATTGTTAATTTTTTTAAAAAAATCATTGGAAATTAAAAGAATATTTATTCACTAAATAAATAAATAAATAATATCAATTTAACCAATAAAATAAATAATAAGCAAAAAAATAAATATATGAATAAAAACCTTAGTTCGGCTTGGCTAATGGAAAGTGGCACGGCTGCAAAAAAAAAAAAAAATTGGCTAGGTCACAGTTCAAGCTTAGTGGCTCCATCAGTTCAATGACAAGAACGGGTTTTTAAAGTCAATGGAACCATTGGGTCGGACCAAATGAAAACATGCAAATCTTTAGGAGGTTAAAGCTCAAAACGACGTTATTTCCACCTTTATAAAAAAGCCAAATTTCCCTTTTTTTTTTCCTCAGATTACCCCAACTCTTTTTCTCTTTATCTTTTCCTTTTTTTCTCTCTTTAGGTGATTCCCAATAGTTGGTTTATACAAAAATAATACTAGAATCTGGGATTCAAGTTGTAAATGCATCGAAAAAATTCATAGGTTTTTGGGTTGGTTGTCGGGAACTGGAAAATGGCTACCAGTTTTTAGAGATGGTCGTCAAAAACTAAAAAAATGATCTAAAAGTTGTCGAAAAATTTAAACTAAATTAGAAAACTCAATCGGATTTTGGAATTTTTAGAATTTTTCAAAAAAAAAAAAAACAAAAAAATCCAAAAAAAAATAGGCTCCAAATCTATTTTCTATTTCCTAGGATCTTCCAAAGCACCACTTAGGCTTTAATCAAATTCTTAAAACCACAAAAAAAATCCCTCTCCAAAAATAAAATTCTATAAAAAAACTACTCTAATCTTTTTGAAAAACTTTTTTATCAATCTATCTACTATGTTTTTGCTATCTCTTCCCCTTTTTCGTTGTGATTACTAGAGGGTTTATATAGGGATTGAGTTCAAGATTAACTAACGATTTAAGAATTAAAATCCTTTCTTTTTTTAAAAAACCCTATCTTATTCATCTATTTATCTCAAATTTTTTTAAAATTATCACAGTTTCAGAATTTAAACTTCCTTGTCTTAGAGTTTTATCCGGATTAAAATTTTTATTTTTATTTATTTTTTATTCTTTTATTTTTATCCAATCTTTATCCAAACACAACAATAAAAGATGGTCAAGTATCCACCAAACCATAATCCATGGATCAAGATCCAAAACTTGACTTAAAAATGGGTGTTTGCAATGAGCTAAAAATTGAATTATTAAATTAATCTAGGAGTTGTATAGAATTTTTAACCTTCATCATTGATATCTATTTTAGGATATTAAATTCATTTTGATTTATTACAAAAAAAACAATTATTTGAGCAATCCTTATTTAAAAAATAGGTTTAATAAACAAAATTTAAGGATACAACTCAAATGTGCCAATTGAGTCATGAGTTAAAGGCCACGCTTAAAACAAATTAAAAATTGAGAAAGGCATTGACATGAGCCAACCACATCAAATACAATAAACTATAGAATATAAAACTTGAAAAAGAACCCATAAATTTCCCTTTGTACTTGGTATTCTTCTTCTAATTTGTCCGTACCCCATTTCTCTCTTCAAAACAAACCCATTTTTTCTTCATCACTTCGCTTCCAATTTCGCTCTTCAAATAATACAAATTCTTGAATTTTAGAAACCATCTATTTTTCTTTGTTGCAAAGGGAATCTGAGTTTTTATCACACGCTTTGTCCCTTTCTTCCAAACAAGGCACCTGGTTTTATCGTTGCCTTGGCCTTGACCCTTAAACGTCAAATCCACCTGACCTAACCCTTTTTCTCTCTCGAAAACTCTATTTTTTTTCTTTGAAAGATCAAAAGGAGGATGAAGAGGAATGTGCATGTGAAAATGATGCAGCAGATGAATAAGAAGAAGGGAAATGAAAACAAGAATACTGTGAAGAAAAGCAGGTTCTTGATTACGGTCAATGTTCTTGGTAGTGCAGGGCCTTTAAGATTCTTAGTCAATGAGGATGATCTTGTTGCTGCTGTTATTGATGTTGCCTTGAAATCTTATGCTCGTGAAGGTCGGCTTCCCGTTCTTGGTTTAGACCCCAACAAGTTTCTTCTCTACTGTGCCAACGCAGGGTCAGATGGTATGTTTACATGCCTTTGTTGTAGTTTTTTGTTTTGTTTTTTTAGATCGAACTTTAGATCTCAATTCTCTTAAAAACATGGAATGGTATCCTTATTATGCTTAGATACACTTTTTATTTTTTAAGTATGGAACTTTGAATCTCAACAAAAACATAAAGATAACAATAACAATTGCTAACACCAAAACAATTGTTCCTTGTGATTGTGATATTTTAGTTTATGTTTGTATTTTTGTTCTTCTTTTTACAGGATTTTTGAGATATACACAAAAATGTATTGTCAAGAAATTGTTATTTTGATTTAATAATGGTTTTTATATGGGTCCTTTTTATAATATTTTTGGGGTATTTTCCTTAGCTTTGAGTCCATGGGAAAAGATAGGATCTCAAGGAGGACGGAATTTTGTGTTATGCAAGAAGCAGGTGCATCCACAGATGACTGAAGCAAGGTCCGCGATGATAACCCATAAGGCAAGTGGTTGGAAAGCATGGCTCAACAAATCCTTAAGTTTCAAGATTTAATCTGGTTGAGATTAATTAATTAATTAGTCTTTCTCACTGTTTTAACCAAAACAAACAGGGTCAGTTCAGTGTTAAAATTTTCATTAAAATCAAAATCTGTTCTGACATTGAATGCTATAATATGCTCTAATGCTTTTAGATGTGGGAAACATATTTAGCTACAAGGATACGTTTCCCTTTATTATAAACATTAAAATAATATGCCCACGTTGTACTTCGGAAAGGAACGGCAATCTTTCTTTTTAGCTTTTACATTCTTCTTTTTTTTTTTGACTTTTTGTTCGTTTCTGTGTTTCTGGTTCTTTCCCTATAAAGGAACTGTTTGATGAATTATGTGTGGGCAAGATATAGGAAAGTACGTAACCTATAGCTGAGGAAGGTGGGAAGCTAAAAGAATAAGAATATGTCTGTCAAATAATAGGCTTAGGTTCAAAGGTTGGTACTGGTTCATTAACTCCCTGAGTAACATTTTACTGGTGGAGAACCAAAATTATTACTGCTACCACTTGCATATATTTTGATGCATTATTGCATAAATTCTATGTTCTGTCACTTATTAATAGATGACATGTATTAAGGAATAAAGTTGAAAGTTTAAAAGATTTTTAATAAACAAAATATATTTATTTTTAAAAGATCTCAAACTTTTAAGTTAATTCCTTAATAAAGATATAGTCCAATATTGTTAAATAAAATTTGTACATATGATGATGCATCAAATATAAATAATATTTTTAGATTATACATTAAAAAAAAAAAAAGGTTCCAAGGCCCTTTGTGAATTTTTTATGCAAAACCAATGCTATATGGCTAGAAAATTAACAATGCTTGTCATGCCAAAATGTATAATATATAGATTTTGTTTTTAGGGTTCAGTTGGTCGATGACATATCTCCGTACGCCAAAAGAGTCATGAAACAAGATGCAGAATATGAGGTTAATTAGATCCTGGAAATTAACATGAGGAAAATCACTTAATTAATAAAATTAAAGTTTTTTTTTCTCTAAAAATTATAGGAGTATTATACTTAGATATTTTTTAGTATTTACTCTAATTCTAAGTTGGTTGTAAATCATTAGACATTAAGAAGAGTTGAAGTTGAAGGCTAGACAAGAATTAGATTCTTAGTTTGCAGATTGGGCATCATACCATTAATTGGTAACTTATAAAATTAGAGTATCAAAAGAATCAAAACAGCTCAATTGATTCATATAATCATCTCTAAGATATCACATTTAATAAATCAAGAATTTTAATCTCAGTTTTACATCTTCTTTCTCTATCTCTAGATTATGACATTTTTTTTTTTTTTTAAAGGTTATGGGATTAACGAATTTTGGCATTCCTAGCTTTCTGTTAAGTTAAATAGAAGATCTGTCTGCTTTCACCTTTTGTCTTAAAAAGAGTTCAAACCACTTGAAAGAGGAAAAGGGACTAGGCATGGTACCGGAGACAAGAATTAGATTCTTAATTTGCACTTTGGCATCATGCCATTAATCGGTAATTTGTTAAACTAGAGTAACTAAAGAATTCAATGTAACTCAATTGATTTATATAATCATTTTTAAAAGATAATATTTAATAGATCAAGAATTTAACTCTCGATTCTACAACCCCTTGATCTATCTCTAGATTATCACATCTTTGAAAATAAAAAAAACCAAGAGTAACCTAGCTAACCTTGCCTTTAACAAATAGCTAGGACCAAAAGAATAAACTTTAATTAGTAGAACTATTTCCTTTTAAATTCTTCTTTACTAAAATTTTTTTTCTCTCATTAGGACTTGACAAAGAAAGTCATGATAGTGACAACTTGTCCTTTTCTTAATATATAGGTAATTTTGAATTGAGAAGAGATTAATTTATTCAGTATAAAACTTTTTTTGTTGTACATTTTTAATTATTGATTTTAGTATATTTAAGGGATGTGATTAAAATTTTTTTTTTACTTATCTCTTTTGTTTCTTTGATTTATTAAAATCAATAATTAAAAAAATACAGAAAACTGAAAAAATTTTATACTGAGTAAGTTAATCTCATCTCAAATTGATTACACAAATAAAGATAAATCTTATATGATAAATTACACATTCTTATTAACATTTGAGTTCATACTTCTAAATTTTTTTTTGTTTAAAGAGAATATAAATTAAAATCGAATTTTTTGAATAAGAAATTTGATGAACTTATCATTGAACTACATAAGCATGATGTAACTGCTAAAAATGTCAAAGTTGAGGATAGTGGTAAGAACCCATTTTGCTCCATGACGAACTTATTAATTATATATAGCATTGTCTTTCTTAAATATTTGAATCTATTCTTTAACCCCCCACCAAAAACGTTAGTCATTTCTGTTAAACAGTTTTTTTAAGCAAGATGACAAAGCCTTTTTTATTAACCAATCCACAGATTGAAGTCTGCCCACCTCGACTGTATTGCTTAAGTTCGGCATATTTGTATTTGATAAATAAACTAAAAAGCTTCAACAAATTTGAATTTTCAATGAAGCTATATATACCCGAATTGTCTACACTTCTTCATAGTTTACCTTTTATTTCACTTTAATAATGTACTACATGCTATGAACCATTAATTGCATTTTTTTCTTAATATCTTGTTCCACTTGATTATTTGTTTGTTGTAAGCTTGCCATTTACAATAAAAAATTCATATTTTGTAGATTAACTAGATTGAATCTTACCAAGAATAGAAATAAGTTGAGACATATGGTATTAAGTTCTTCAACAAGAAAATTAAGATTTTTTTTTGAAGTAATTGTAGATTATATTGATGAAAGGTGGTTATTTTATCGGGTAAGGGTTAAAAAAAAAAAAAGAAAAGAAAAGGTCTTGGTTAGGGTTGCATGTCAAGTTGGGATCCAACGAAACCCAATGATCCTAGTCACTAATAATTCCAAAGCCAAATCCCAAAAATATAAAGCCTAGTGAATCATTGAATTATTTTGGTACTTAAGTATTATGAGTTACACAATGAAAAAATAATCATATTTCAATATCACTCAAATTAGCATGGTGCAACCCAAGCATTGGGAACCGACCTCATCTTAAAACATAGATTAATTCTAGAGGTGTAAATGAACAGAGCTTTCAACGAACCGTTTATGAACACGTTCAATTTTTGTTTGTTTATTAAGTTTAACAAACAATCTTGAACAACATTTTTATGTTTATTTGTTAAACGAATCGAACATGAACAGAAGTCTGTTCAATTCGTTTATGTTCGCGAATAAACTTGTTTAATGTTTATAAATAAATTTGATTATAATTTGTTTTAAACATTAAAAGTTGATTATTTTGAGATTTAATATTTTTTATCAATCTACAAATTATCATATAAAATTTATATTATTAAAAATTATATGAAATAGATCAAAATAATTTTTTATTTTTTAAAAATATTATTACTAAATAACTTTTTTTAATCCTTAAAAATTGAATAAAAATCAAATAATAACTTTGAGGGAGCGTTTGGTTCATAGAATCGTAGATTTCGGAGGAAAGTGTGATTTTCAAAAAAATACGATACTCAAGGTTTTCTTTCATTTTCAAGGCATTAAGTGTTCATATTCACTCATTTGGTTGAGAAGAATCCACATATCTTAAATCTTAAATAATTACTATGATTTCCTTAGCATATAAGATAGTAATTTAAATAATCCAATTTTTAATTAAAGAGGATTATTCAATTCATTTTTGGCTAGAAAAATACCTTGAATAATTCCTTACAAAAAATTGAATTAGGTTATTGAAGGCGTTTCTGGCTAAAAATGCTTTAAATAATTTCCTTCAATTTTTTTTATTAGGGATTATTCAAAGCGTTTTTGGCTAAAAATACCTTAATAATCATCTCCAATTTTTTTTAGAGATTATTCAAGGTGTTTTTGCTCAAAAAATGTCTTGAATCCCACCAATTCTTTTTGGGATTATTCATAACGTTTTTGGCCAGAAAAAATAATCCTTTTAACCCTAAACCCTAAACATTAGAGATTAATTAAGGAGTTTTTGGGTAAAAACGCCTTGAATATTACCTCATAAAAATTGAAGTGGATTATTGAAAGCATTTTTGGCTATAAACGCCTTGAATAACCCCATTCAATTTTTTGTAAGGGATTATTCAAGACGTTTCTGACAAAAATACCTTATATAATCTCTTTTAATTTTTTACTAAGGGATTATTCAATGTATTTTTGGTCAAAAAAGTCTTGAATAATCCATTCTCAATTTTTTTTTGGGATTATTCAAAGCATCAAAAAACCCTTGAATAATCCTTTAAACTCTAAACCCTAAAAATTGAGAATTATTGAAGGTGTTTTTGGTTATAAATGCCTTGAATAACCACATTAAAGTTTAAGGTATTTTTGATCAAAAATGTCTTGAATAATCTTTTAAGTCCTAAACCTAAAAATTGAGGATTATTCAAGGTATTTTTTTTGCCATAAATGCCTTGAATAACTCAATTAAATTTTTTATGAGGGATTATTCCAAGAGATTATTGAAGGTATTTTTTGTTAGAAAATACCTTGAATAACGCTATTTAATTTTTTGTAAGGGATTATTTAAGGCATTTTTTGACAAAAAATGTTTTCAATAATCTAAAAAAAAAATGGGAAGGGATTATTTAAGGCTTTTTTAGCCAAAAAATACCTTGAGTAACCCCATTTAATTAATTGAATTGAGTTATTTAAATTATCATCATACATGTTTGTTTATGTATATTTGTGAACATATTCGTTTATTATTCACGAACAAACTCATTTAATTTAAACGAACCGAACACAAACGAACGCGAACATTCTATTATTTAAACAAACTAAGCTCAAACAAAATTAATAAATTTCTTACCAAACACGAATTGAGCTGGAATAGCTTTAAAAATAAATGAATAAATCATGAACATATGTTTGTTTATTCATGTTTAATTCATTTACAGCCCTAATTAATTCCAAACAAATAAAAAATTAAATCATCTTCAGCTGATTTGTTTTTTTTTCTCTCAACCAAAATTCGATTTTATTAAAAACCCGAAAGGGATAAAGGGACAAAGCTAGCATTAACAATCTTTATTATTAACTATATTCTTAAATAAGTCTATAAACCAAAGGGAAAAAGGAATACAAAACTAATAAGCTTAGAAGCCGAGGCCTAAGAGTAATTAAACCGCCACATCTGACAATGAAAAGTCGACATTAGCACAAATTTTTAATCACCGAAACCAAGTATAATTAGGAGAATTGAATAACCGACCTACCTCCAAAAGGTATAAATTAGGAGAAGTTATAAGGAATTTAGTTTAAAGTTCCCAAAAAAAAAAAAGGTTTGTTATACCCTTCCTTCGTTCTTCCATTCGTTTTCTTTGATTATTGCATGTTGGGTTTCTTTCAATATCTTTTACTTTCATCAACAACTATGGGTTTTAGTGTAGTAAAAGGAGTAGCAAGGAATGGTTTAACTATGGAATGAATCAAACTTAAGACTCTTGGCAAGGGTTTTTTATTTAGTTGTTCTCTTTAGGAAACCAATATCGGTGTCTGGTTATCGAGCTTTCGCTATGAAATCTAGTCTTTACCAAGATTTCTGATTCTCTTCAAAAGGAACTACTAATCCTCTAAAAGATTTTATTGGTCGTGGTAATATTGTTCAATGCTATGGTGATACGTTGAGCATTGATCAATGGATGATGGTTTACAACTTGTTTCTTGAATATGCTGTGGTGTTAATCTTTTGGATTTGATGATCAAGAAATATGGGGGCAAGATATCCGATGTGATGCAAAGTGCTACGCGAGAATGCTGGTTGAAGGTATTCGTGATATTCATGATAGAGGCTATGTTCATTGTGATCTCAGGCCAGAAAATATCCTTGTTTATTCTGATATGTATGGTTCTATTAGAAGTCTAAAGATTGCTGATTTTGGCCCGACTATTGGACCTGGAGAAAAAGATACGACAGAGTTAGAGCCTTGGATGCTAGATTTTCCAGGAACAGCAGTTTACATGCCACCTGAATCTGTTACTGATGAGAAAATCAGAGCTGCGCTATATATATGGTCGCTAGTGTGCATTTTTCGTGAGAAGATCACCGGGAAACTACCATGGGAATAGAAGAACCTGAACAATTATTTAAAGATCAAGATTGGATTTTCCAGATATCCGACCAAAAAAAACCCGAAACCACGTCAAGCACGGGGAAAGATTTCTTGATGAAGTGTTTCAAAAGGATCCTAGTAAAAGGTGGACTCTTAATATGCTGTTAAGCCATCCTTTTCTCCTTCCAGATAGCCCTTCATTGCCATCTCTTACAAAATCTCTTCACCATGTTCAAGTCGATGGCTGTCTTCCTACTCCTTCACTGTTCAAATCAACATTTCATTTTGCTATATAATCGTATTAATTTTTTATTTAACTAGTGTTACTTGTCTTGTGCGAAGCCATCAGAGAACTTAACCAGGCCAGCTTCTGTTAAATATCTTCAACTTCTAGATTATTTTTTTTCCAGCGCATAGAACTTAACCAACAATTTTGAAGATCCTAATAAAACATTCTAACAGAGAAATCAATGTAATGAACAAGGTTCACAGCTTATGGAATAGGCACCAGTCAGTGGGGGAGAAGCACCAGTTATTGGTGAATTGTTCTGCTTATAATTTCTGCAGTGATTATATCTATTTATCATTTGTTACCTGCAAACAAAAAAGATTTTACAAAAGATTGTTATGGTAGGAATAGTTGAATAAGTTTGATTATATTTTATGTCACGGTTAGTTTATGGGCTTGGGCAAATTGCAAATGATATGGTTTAGATTAAATGAAGATGGGCTTTGTGAAATTGACTTGGGTCAAGGCTTAGAGAAGCGTCCATGAATCATAGTTTGTCGGCCTATTCAGCCTCCATTTAAAAATTGAAGTCAGAGCTTGAATGCTTGATCTTATTTGTTTACTTATTATTTTATTATTAAAAATAATATAATAGTATTTTAAAATTAAAGTTAAATAAAATATATATTACAATCAATCTAATAATTTAATCGAGTTGGATCAAACTCAACTCGAACCCAAAAAATCTTGGCCAAACTCAACTTGTATTGGATTTTATCGACAAGTTTAAATGAGTAACACGGGCTCGGACACTTCTGCAAATCCTGTCATTTTACTTGTAATAGTGAAGACAGACAGCAGTTTAGGCTCTTGTATTTAATTAATAAAACGTTTTTTATCTTTATCTTTTTAAAGTTCTACCTTTTTTACTTTTAAGTTCTATATACTGATTATGAAGAAAATATCAATTTGTACAATGATATTCATTAGTTATTCACTTCAAAATACCTTTTGTTAATGACCAAAAATAATATATCTATTTACTTATGGAAAGAAAAAAAATTGCATTTCTTTTTCGTTTTCCCCCTTCTACATTAATTATATATAATATAAATAATTAGGAAATATAGATAAATAAAATACTGCAAAAGATTTTTAAATAAAATTGAGGGATCTTGTTAGGTTAAGAATTTAAGATTTCTCAAACCTTAATCAACATTGTCAAGCAATACTACAAGAGCAAATTTTTAATTTGACCCAATCTTTTCTAAGACTTAGATTAGTATTATTGTTGAAAATAGCTTTTGCATTCAATAGTTGCTTTTAATTTAAACTCAATGCTAAGTAACAAAAAAAAAAATGATTTTTAAGTTTAAAGATTGATTTTGTAATCCAAATCAAAAAGCTATTCAAGTGGTGTTTTTACATTAAAAAAGTATTTTGAGATAAAAACTACTATATTATCCTATATTATAATATTTTATTATTTTATGTATGTACATTTCAATTACTCACTGTATCTTTTTACAATAATACTAAATACTTAAAATTTTTAACTAAATTTTTTTATCATATTTTTTAAATGTATTTTTTTATCTTAATTTTTTTTAACCACAATAACTATTAAACTAACGAATTTTTTTTTCTTTTTAGCATTGATCTGCATTTCATAATTCTATCTCACTGCAAATTCTATTTTAGTCTTGCCCTCACGCATGAATCACGAATGGATAATATATAAAAAAAAAAAAAAAATTCCAATGGAGTAATAAGGGGGCTTAACGGAAACTAAAGCCAACTTTATATAGCAGATAAGTTGTTCCACAGTTCTGCCTCTTCAATTAAAAAGAAGAAAATCAAACAACTTTCTTGCAACACAATACCATTTCTCCTTCCAACCTTCATTTTTTTTTTTCACTTAGCAGATTAGTTCGGTTACAATTAAACCATATCTATATCACTTGTAATCCCTCAACTTTGATTCAAATTTTATTTTGATCCCTAGTTTTTAAATTTTTTTTATTAAATCTCTTATTACCCAATATTCTCCTACTTAAGTCTTTTCATTTATAAAAACTTATAAATTGACAATAAATGTCACCTAACACCACATAATAACATTAGTTGCCACTCACATGATAAAGAGGGATAAAAATAGTATTTCTCAAAATTTAGAAACCAATAATGAAACTATCTCAAAATACTATATATTTCATATATATCTTATAAAAATATTAAATTTAAATTTAAATTTAAATCTATATAATTTTTTTGTTGTAATATAACTTATTAGTTAGATATTATGTTTTAAATAAAAAAATAGATATTCAAAATTTAAAATTAAGTTAAAAATTTCAAATTCATTTTTTTTAAATTCAATACATTTTAAAAACCAAAGAAGGTATGTTTTTATTAAAAATATTATTTTACTCATAAATCAAACTAACAATATTATTTTCTATCTATTAAATTTATTTTTTAAAATATGAAATATCTTTTATTTTTCCTTTCAAATATATTTCATAATATATGTTTTATAAAAAAGAAAAAATAAAAATATTTTTAACAAAAAATAGATTCAAATTAGATTTTTTGGATAGAAAATAAATATTTGAATAGATTAGTAAATCTATTTTTTAAAATGATATGGTAATTTTTACATAATATTTTAAAACAAAAACAGTTTCCATTTAATTTTTTAAATCAATATAAAAAATTTTACTTACTTTTTTAAAAGATATGTAATTTTTAAAAACTTATTTTTAAAAATTTAACTTAATTATAATTTTTTAAAATAAATCTTATCATAATAAAAATTAAAAAGTATTTTAAATTATAATATTTTATAAAATGTATTTGAAATATATAAAAATAAAAATTTTCTTTAATTAGTTTTTATTTTTTTATTTTTTATAAAGTATATTTGAAAAATATATATTTAATATTTTAAAAAATATATTTTTGAATAGAAAATAATATTTATTTATTATGATTTATAAGTAAAATAATATTTTTAATAGAATTTTTTTGTTTTTAAAATGGTATTGAATTTAAAAAAAAATTGAAATTTTAACTTAATTTTAGTTTTAAAAATCTATTTTTTATTAAATATATATATAACTAATAAATTATATTACAACAAAAAATTATAAAAATATAATTTAATATTTAATAAAATATATATGAAATATATAAAATTTTGAAATAATTTCATTTTTAGTCTTTAAACCTTGAGAGAATTTTATTTTGGTCCCTCATTTATCAAGAAAGATGCCAACTGACACCATCATGTGACACCAACTAACATTTGCTATCAATTTAGGTAGTTGCATGGATGAAAAACCTAAAATATGATAATCTTAAGGGATTTGATTATAATTTTTTGTAAAGATTAGGAACTAAAATAAAATTTGGATCAAAATTTAAAAATTACAAGTGCTATTAACCTTATATATATATGTGTATATGAATATATGTATACATATATGTATATATATATGTGTGTGTGTGTGTGTATATATATACATATACATATATTTATATGTGTGTGTGTGTGTATATATATACATATACATATACACACATATATATACATATATTCATATATACATATATATATATATATCTATATTCATATACATCAACCTAAAGGCATTCCTATGATTTTAAAAAAAATTGTACATGTGATGATCCTTTAGTCTTAAAATGAAGTATAGGAAGGTAACACTTTTTTCGACTAATAAATAATCTACATATTTGTGGCTATTTTTTTTTTTGGTCTAGAAAAGAGTTATGCATAAATTTTAAAACTATTCGATACATCATCATCCCATTAATTTCGCCTAATAAAAGAAAGAGTACACAATTAGGTGGAATAGAAAAAAAAAAGGATAGGGGTAAGATCATTTGAAGAGTTCAACAAAGTTGCATCACTTCCTCTTCTAGCTAGGCATCTGCACTCTTATTTCTTTCACGGAAAACATGCCTCACCATAGTCTATTGGAAGCTTATTAACATCATCTTGTAATCACAAACTAATACGTTAAGATAAAGGTTGGTTTATGTAGACACCTTAATTTGTTCGGGCCTAAGCTCATGGGGCCTAGTTCAATCAAGGTTGGGCCTAAGCCCATTGGGCTTAGCTAAGATATGGTCTAAAAAGGATAAATTAGCCTATTTTATTTGTATTTTTATTTTTTGTTTTGTATTTTTATATTTTTTATTCTTTTTTTTTGGTTAACTGTTCTAAATTTTATCTTTATTATTACGTTTTTTTATATTTTATTTTTATTCTAGAAGATTAAAAAAAAAGAGGAATTTACCATGAATGGTGGCTGGTAGGATTAGAGTGGAATTCAATTTATTTTTTGCCAATCCTATTCAAAGAGGGAATTAGGGTCAATTAGAAACTCTTCTGATTGAACCCTATAAATAGCCCATGAATCATACACAGAAACATACGGGAAATACACGAAACAGAGAGAAAACAGAAGCAAAAGGTGTTTAGAAAGGCATAGGTAAATTTTAGAAATTTTAGAATTTTTTTCTGGAATTTTCAAGCAAATTTCTAATTTCTAGATTATGGCAAACATTTTCAGCGAAACTTGAATTTTTTGGCATGTTCTTACAGATTTCGACGTGCTTTTTCAAAATTCGATGAAAATTCAATCGGATTCTGGGTTCTGTTAGAGAGAGAGGGAAAGAAAAGAGGGGAAGAGAGAGAGAAGGAATGGAGGCATTTGAAGGGAAAACAAGATTTTTACCTTTTATACTTGCAAAAGACGATG